ATGCCAGTTTTTATTCCCCGGCCAAAGGTCGGATACTTTTCTCACAGGCCTCGTAGTCTTACCTCTCACTTTGGGTTTTTATTTTTTCCACAGGACTTTGTATGACCATGTTTGTTGTGACTGATACTTATCTTCATATTCCAATTACCCCAGTGTCACATTGTTTTCTTCACTTCGTCCACGAGGGTTCTGTCTTCCAGTTCCTGGTGTTGCCATTCAGTCATTCAGCTCCGTTTGTGTTTTGTCGAGTGGTACACTCTTTTGCATGTCATCTTCACTCGCTGGGTCTTCTGACTCATCATTACATGGATGACTGGCCACTTCTTATCTCTTTCCGTGCCCAGTCACACACTCATACCCATTTACTTCTTCAAGAAGCTGCTTGGGTGGGGTTTCTTGTCAAGTTGTAGAAATCCTTTATTACCCCCATTATTATTATTAACTTATTATTATTATTATAATAATAATAAGTCGACTTATTACTATTTTTTATATTAATATTATATTTGCACTAAATCTGTATACTTCTATAATGCTCACTGCTGAGATGGGGTGTTTCTGTAAGACCACCGGATACCTATCCAGTGGTGTGTGTGTGTGTGTGTATGTATGTGTGTGTGTGTGTATATATATATATATATATTATTATTATCACTGTTTCATGTGTAAAGGACAGTCACTCATGGACTTTGTGAGTAAAGCAGATGGGGATTTTTGCTCGTCCCTAGTGACCCCTGATTCTTACAGTCACGGTTTTTCTGCTTTTCAAAATAGGGAATTGCACTGTTTCCAGTGTGTCATTCCTTCAGACTCCCCAACATTATCTCTAGTGGAGCGTGGGAGTTCTTACTACTTCCGGTTCCCAGTGGCTGGAGTGGTGGACCATGGAGGTTTCCTTCTGAGTGGGGTTTGTACAATAAGCTAAACCAAACTTTATAGCTCATATGTAACCACTCAGTGAGAAGAGGGCTGTCATCATTTTATTCATTGATTATGCAATTACATAATATCCTGGATCCAAGTTGCTTCCCCTAATGTTTTTGCCGGGGCTGACAGTACTTGTTGATTACAAAGTAAATTTCTTATGCAAAGCATTTCCACTGGATGTTTTCTGCCAGAATGGACAGCACTTGAAAAATTCAGTAGTATCCAAGGTGCTTCCACACACTTGGCCTAATCCTATGTTTCTAGTTTGTACCTGCCTATTCTCAAATGTGAGGATTGTGCTAGAATAGTAGAGTATAGATGGCACAGTATGATTGGTCAGAGGTAGTCACATGATCAGCATGTAATGAAATGGCAAGAAAATGAAGGGGTTTAAAAGACTGGTGCAGTGTTAGCAATAAAATTTTTAGCAGTGCTTAGAGGGCAAACCAAGGTCAAGATAGCTTCGTGTGCAAGAAGGTAAGTACCTATTGGAAATACATTTTCAGTGTAAGAAATTGTTATCTTTTATTTCAGTGAATTATGCATTCATGTTAATATGATACTATTTTCTATAATGCTTTTTCTTTTCTTTATCATTTACAGTAACAAGTTGAAACATTGTGTTTAATAATAGGAAACTATTTATTCCAGGACAAGCTGGTCAGTTTGGACAACCCTCTTCATTCCAGTCAGATAATACAAACATAACAGATGAAGAAAAGGTAGAAGTTACACAAAGGCTGGCTCAGTGTACACTAGAACAGCTTCAGCAGGAGTTTTCACTTACAGACAGGTTAGAAATTATGACCATTTTCATTATTAGCTTTATAAATAATAGCCAGAAGAAGTCGTAGATAATTTTTTATCTTGTTTTTTAATTCTATATGTTATATTCAGTCAGCTGTAGAACAGCTTCAGCAGGAGTTTTCACTTACGGACAGGTTAGAAATTATGACCACTTTCATTATTAGCTTTATAAATAATGGCAAGAAAAAGTCATAGATAATTTTTTATTTTGTTTTTGAATTCTATATGTTACATTCAGTCAGCTGTATAACAGCTTCAACAGGAGTTTCCTCTTACAGACAGACTATATGTTATATTCAGTTTACTTTAGAACAGCTTCAACAGGAGTTTTGTCTCAAAGACAGACTATATGTTATATTCAGTCTACTTTAGAACAGCTTCAACAGGAGTTTTGTCTCAAAGACAGGCTATATGTTATATTCAGTCTCCCTTTAGAACAGCTTCAACAGGAGATTTCTTTCACACAGGTTAACTTTGTCATAACAGTATGATAAAGTCATGTGTTATTAAAAATCCAATTGCTTAGAGATACTTTAAAAATATTGTTTTACCAGAAGTTTTTAACCAAACAGACCATCATAGAGATGAGCAAAAAGATTGTGGATAAGTTTTGTGCTAAATTAGAGCCATGTGCTGGATGGAAAAAAATGTCCACCCAAACTTCTCAATTGAAGTCATTCACCAATGAACAGTGTGGGCACAGCCATAAGATGTTGGAAAAATATTATATAGGAATGGATTAATTTGGATGAAACTTTTATAATCAGCCACAATTTATACATATTGAATGTATTGAAAAGTCAAATTATTTTTCTATCTGAACACCACTTCTATATTTATGTAGTAGAGAGGCAGATGTAAATTCCTTAAAATTCATTTTAAAATTAAAAAAAGGTAACCAAGGACTATCATGCTGAAATGATAGTGTAATGCCTGGGTATCGGGTTTTTGTTTGTGGCTACCTTCTCCATGTGTTTCATAGTTTTGGCTGGTTCCATAAGCCTATCATTTTCAAAAGTTATGCAATAGAAACATGTAAACATGTTTTTCTTGTTCTAACTATATCATTCTTCTAGTTCATTCCTTTCACCATAGCGATATGACATCCCACTCCTTTATGTCTATATTTGAATAATACTTTATATACTGTTCCTTTTATATACTGTTTGTTGAAGCCCATGTCATTGTAAATATCATATGTATATACAGTGGTAAAATAACCAGCATTTTGCTAAAACTCCTTGTGAGAAATGTGTGAAGATGTGAATTGTATTTCAATAATGTTTGTTTTAAAATTACCCGTACTGGTGTCTTTTTAGTGAGATTGGGATGCTAGCATAGCAAATTTTATTATTTTGTATTTATTTGAATTCTCTGTAAAAGAATCACTGCTTTAGCTGCTTAAATAAATCAACCCACATGTAGTGGATAAAAACAGTTATTTGACCTACAAAATTATTGCACGAAATGTTTTACAATTGTGTATTCTTCAGTAATACACACTTTTTTTCTGTCACTGTTTGATTTTATAAATAAAAATTGTAAACAATATTTGAAAAGAGCAATATCAGAATATTTATTTTTAGCAGTTTGATGATTTACATAAAATACAAAGCAGGAACTTTTATAAGTTTAGAAACTTGGGGATATAAAAAAACAACATGGTATAAGTCTCCTAATATCTTTGAAATCAGAGTTTCCAAGGCTGTTTATTGTTGTCTTGTAAAATATTTCAAACTAGTCATAACCTAGTAATCAAGAAGTAAGACTATTGTGACTGTAAAATGAAGAATCTAAATTTCTTAATAAAATAAGTATTATTCCTTTTCACAGTATTAGATAAAACTGTAAATGTATAGTAAGGTGTTGATGGGACCTAGCATGGCCTGGTGGTGTGGTTAGAGCACTTGACTTGCAAACTTTTGAGATCGTGTATTTGAATCCCCGTCACTGAACATGTTCATCCTTTCAGCTGCAGGATCTTATAATGTGATGGTCAATCCCACTTTTCTTCAGTAAAAGAGTAACCCAAGAGTGGACGGTGGGTGGTGTTGACTAGCTACCTTCCGTCTAGTCTATCATTGCTAAATTAGGGATGGCTACCTCAGATTGCCCTTGAGTAGATTAGTGCAAACAAAATCAAACAAAGGTATTGATGGAAATTATGCTAGAATACTTTAGTATTTAGTGTGTCAGTATGTATACTAAAGAAATTCTGTAAGTTGATCTGGAACAGTGTTTACACCTTTAAGGTGTAGTATCAACCTTGCTATGAGTAACTGAAACCCAGGCTTTGTTCATGTAAGCAATGTTAACACTTATTCATAAATAAAGGTAGAACATTATGCCATATTTTGTTTTGAAATTATTGGGAACATTTGGTGAAACCTAAAATTAAGTCTCATAAAATTTAATGTAAGATGGGAGCATAAATCACAATTCTGTTTTATTTGTATTTGTGACAGTTTTTTTTTTATATTTGTTGTATTTTCATTCTAGGCCATTTTTAGAAGCCATCTTTAATGCTTTGGAATGTACAGAAAATGACCACAGTGCTTTATTTGCTTCATGTTTACTTTATGCCTTGGGACATAATGCTGGTAAGCTTTTTTTTTTTTTATTTGTTAACTTAAACACTTGTTTTTCTTTTGGTATTATGTAATTTATTTTTAATTAAATGATTGTTAGTTTTAATTTCTTTGGTAAATGAAAAGAATCTATTTAGATCAATGATTAGTTTCTACAAAATTATTGATTGAGAGTATTGTAGTGTGCTTTTTCAAATACAGCCCCATGATTCAGCAGTATTTTGGGCTGGATGTGCAAGTGAAGCAAGTTTGTTGGTGAATGCCTGAATATACAGTGGTACAAATACCATGAATTCATGTGTACATGATGCTGAATGTTTGCATTTAAAGGTGTAGACTGTTTTCAGTGTGCAGGAAAACAACAACACTTGCTTGTACGTATGTTTGAGACTATTAGTGCACAGGAAGGAAAATTGGTGAAAACTAAGTGTATCTCTACTAATATGCTAAAAAAAAACTGGGGAAAACTTGACAGTGTTTACATGCTGTTCAAAGTACTTCATAGTTACGAAAACAATAAGCATTTTATTACATTGATGTGAACAAAGCTGAGTGATTTCTTGGTGCTTTGTTAGCTTCTTTGACTAGGTATGGCTCATTGGTTAGCACACTGGACTGTAAATCCAAGGGTTTCTGGTTTATGCTCTATTGCATGTAATCGTGCTCTACACTTTTGGGTTGTGGGTGCATTAGAAAAGTGATGGTCAAAACTCCGTTTGATTAAAATAATATTTGGAAGTGGATGATGTTGACTAGTTGTATTCTCTCAAGTTTTTCAATTCAAAGTTAGGGATTTATATCACAGACAACTTGTGTAGCTTTGAACAAATATCTGACAAAAAAATAAAAAATATCAATTTTGTTTGTTTCAGGAAATGAAAGACAAAGCTCAGTGATTTGTATATGCTTTATTAGTTTTGTGTGATTTTGTGGTTTATTATCTATTTTTTGTATCTATAAAAGCCTGATAAAGATACTGTATTTAAATGATTTATTACAGAATTATTATTAGCTTCTTGTATTTAGACTGTATTTAAATGATTTATTACAGAATTATTAGCTTCCTGTATTTAGACTGTATTTAAATGATTTATTACAGAATTATTATTAGCTTCCTGTATTTAGACTGTATTTAAATGATTTATTACAGAATTATTATTAGCTTCCTGTATTTAGACTGTATTTAAATGATTT